GTCAATTCCCTTGTGTTTTGATACACGTGTGTTTCCCCCAGATTTCTACCTGTGATTCCCTAATTCTTGTGTGCACGAACATTTGACTCTTGTAAGCTTCGTTGGACTTGCTCAACAATGACAAGCAAGAGGTCCTAGAAGCAGCCAACAATGCTAGTGGACAACCCACTATCACCACCAGCAAGTCGATCACCGTCGCCCCCATCGCTTCTACTTCCTACAACTTTTACATCCACCTCGACGGGCACTCGCTCTCGTACAACTGCGAACGACGCACCGCCGATCGATGGAACTACACATTGGCCACGGACAAGAAGGCCGCCACTCGTCCGTCTTCGTTCGACACCGACCAGATGATGTCGAAGGAGTGCAACCAATTCAAGACGAAGTCGTACGCCAGCACCCACCGTGGCTTCGACCGCGGGCATCTGGTGGCCAGTTCCATGATGACGGACAGCCCCGAGCAACGCCGCGGGTCTCACTATATGACCAACATCGCTCCCCAAGTCTCAACCAAGGCATCTGGGAAAACACCTAAGACATCGAGGCGTGTTATCGTAACCTCCAGCGAATCTACACGTGGGGGGGTATCTTGTACACGGACGACTCGAACGATTACTTCCTGGACAGCCACGGCATCCGCACGCCCGACTTTTGGTGGAAAGTGGTGCTCACCAAGGACGACAGCGGCGCCGACAAGATCATTTCGTGGTTCTTCCCCAACCAGGAGAACTTGGGGTCATTGGACTCGTTACTTGGTGTCTGTGGCCGACATCGAAGCCCGCTTGACCGATGGCTTGGGGGCCATTCCAGTGCCGACGTCCCTCAAAGGACTCAAGGTATCGACCAGCTGACCCAAGCCGGCTGACTGCACCCGGCGTATCTAAGCTTGTCAATACTACGTAGTACTTTAAAACTTTGCGGAACCCGTGTTGACATGCAAACGCATGGAGGTCCACCGCATCGTCTTAGGATAAATACTTGACGAGGAATTCACGAAAGAAAAAAGAAAAAAATCGGCACATCACTGGTCGACCACGTTAGAAGGACATCTTGAAATGTAATACTTTGATGATGAAATGAAAGCTCTGTGTTCGGTTTTTTTAATCACTTCACAAAATGTGAAAAACCTTCCTGTGAGCCGAGATATGCGAATTCTACGGTGACTACTCCGAAAAAGTAATCATAAATTGGTCATTTACGTTAGCTGAAGGAAGAGATGGGACTTACTTGAACAACAACATGGTCTCCACCAAACAAGAATGTTCGATGGGATAAGTACGCCAAGGTGTTGTTAAATCATCCGCCTGAAAGAGCTCGTCAAGATCTGTCACATACACCTAAACACAATGTATTTAGACAGTTCACGATGACGTAAATAATTTAGCAAGTTGCAAAATTTACATTGATGACCAGTGATGTGCCGAATTTTATACTTGAAGTAAGTATGGATTAGGGTTGTGTAAAAAACAGGCGAAGGAATTTATAAAATGATAAAGGTATATTATATTATATTTGAACAGGAATAAGATATTGCGGAACTGTACTGTACATTCTCTATTCCAGACGGAAATAGACCGACCATTTCAAAATTGATCAAGGACGGAAATAGACAAGACATATTGCATCCCCCCGAAATATAATAAATATATACCAGGCGTAATACTAAAGGCTAGTTAATTAAATAAAAAAGTTTTTTATTTAATTATTGGCATTGCATTTACTCAAACCCATATTAATTTGATTCTTACGCTGATACCTACACTCCTTCATCGTCATCGATCCCAAGAGACTCCATGGCTGAGAAGATGTCGCACATCTCCAAATCGGCAGCCGTTTGGGCCGCAAGCAGGTTCATGGTCTTCTCAAGGTCTTCATTGCTCAGCAAAGCACAGCCTGTGTTGAACACATCGCGGCCGCATTCGACAGACTCAGGTAGGAGGCCCGACTTCTTGAGCGCCGCCTTCTTCATGTGTGGCACCTTGTAGGAGTTGTCGCCGGCGCTC